GTGTTGATTTTCCTTCATGGTCACCTGAATATTCCATTTACTCAATATTGGCCGTAGTTTTTGAGTTAGTTCGTAGAAAGGCAGGCATATCCACTTTTGCGAATCTTTAATCATCCTTACTGTTCTTTCATATTCCCCGTTCTGCCATCGGCTTTTCATGACCCGTATGTTTTTTTATATTACTTCACTTAGGTAGCCATTGTCGAGGAAGATCCTAGTCAATTTGTCCAGCTCCTCGTCTCAGAAATCTGCATCCGTCAGGCGTAGGCTTCTGATGATCATGCTCCTCATTATTCCAATCTTTATCCTGTAATTGTGATGAGACCGGAAATTGAGTATTATCCCAGCATCGACTTCTTTCTGAATATTTTCTTTTTCAACGTTCCATTAGAACGAATAAATTCTATAAATCGAAAGGAGACTGCGACCACAACATCTTGGTCTTTATATATTCAATCTAAATTATGCTTTACGATCCATGTTACATTTCAGATTTGTTCAAAGCGTTCAAAATAAAACTGATCCGACGGCCCTTCTCAATCAGTAATACCAGTAGGTAGACTCAAGAATCCCCATGCGAAATGAAGACACAAAATCCCGGAAGTGAGACAGTGAAGACTGACAGGGAAGTAGAGGCAACATGATTTAAGAATAGCTGGGTAGATTCACTATTATCTCTCAAGTATGGAGTGCTATAAGAGAAAATGTCACGCATTATGCGCAAGAGCATGATTCCGGCGGAGTACTCAAGGAGTATGGCAGAGAAGATAAAAAGTAACCTGATTAAAATACTGTAATTTGTCTAATTCATATGAAGTTGAATAAAGTGAATCGTTTTACCACAACCTTGATCTTCTGCTATATAAAGTACGATCTAAACATAACTACAACACAAGTGAGTGCAAACCAACGAAGCTGCCTTGTTAATCGTTACCTCGTGTGGCGTCAATAAATACGATGTTAAAATAACGAAGGAATGAAGACCGAAATAATGGGGCCTAAAATTAATCGAATTAAGTCTCTTTCATCAACTGTTTATTTTATCAATCAAAATAATGAAGTAGCAATCCTATGCAAATCTGTAATTTCGCTGAGCAAAACTCAAAACAACTAAACGAAACATACCTTAGATAACAAAATGGGACAAACATGACCAATAATAAAACAAAAAGGGAGAGATAATCAAGAAATAATATTCCTAGAATGGACGCGTTTCTTATATACAAAAAGCTTGAAATATGAAAACATTAATATGTGGATTTTCTGGGATATATCTATGAATATAGAGAAGATAAGATAAAAAGATCGCAAAAATATAGAGCGAGGGAAAGTGGACTCAAGTTATATTCGGTCAATAGACAAAAAATAGTAAGTGAATAAAATACAGGGCGCTTCATATAAGTATAAGTTACACTTAAGTAGAAGAGATGAACATATGAGAATTCACAGACGCTTTAAATAGAGCTAAAAAATGTACAATAATTCTGAACAAATAAACCAGCAGAGAACTCTATTAATAAGCGCATACTGCCACGTATTTAAGAGACTGAAAAAAAATTAAGCTCAAGATCAGGATTATGTTTTGTCAAAGGGAAACTAAAGGCAATACTAAGATAAACG